TGCAGCTGCCATTCAGAGATTCACTGTGAAGGCTCAGAGGGTTACTTACAACCAAACTTCAGAAACTCCTGCATGGTATAGTTATTTCTGTGATTTCAGGCCCACTTTTTTTTAATGACAGCCTTTACATAGCATGAGATATTCAGTGATAACTAACCAATATAAATTAACTTCCCAATTTTTAAACTTACAATAAGTTTTAGGTAATCTATACAATTTTGTGGCCCTGTATCTGCAATGTTGCACTAGGTACTGTGGGGGGAAGAAACAGACATCCCGCCTTCAAGGAATATCAGAGACCGTATCTAGAGAAAATAATTAAATACACATTCACGTAGCACTGTACCAACTAATGCCAATCAAAGAACAAACTGAATAGGAGTAAATAAGGATATATTCAGGGAAGAATAAATCTAACCCAAGAGGGTGGGAGAAAAAAGGTTTACATGAGGTAGATTTTTTTCCATTATGTAATTTTTTAAAAATTGAGGTTTAATTGAGTTATAACATTAGTTTCAGGTCATGAGGTAGATTTAAACCATAGGCAATGCTCCTTCCTAATTACAAGATACTTAAGTGTGTGCATTAGCATCAGCAGATACACGAGGGACTGAGAGCAGAAACTTTACAGAGATTTATCACACCCTTCTGAAAAGTCAAACATAAATTGAACTGAGTTGTTTTCTATAAAAGCTAATATATAAACATATTAAAGGTGCTGCCTCTTAGAAAGAATCTGTGGGGGAAACTTTAATAAAAATCAAGTGTTTATTGTGAATCATCATTTTGGTTTTCACATATTCTGTGCTTTTAAAGCAGGCACACTAATATGAATAAAATCTTTCGTTTTGTCAATAGAGAAAAACACTGTTTTCTTACCTTTGAAAAGGGTCCTGCAAACCGCCACAAACCATTAAAACCAAAACCTGCAACAAATCAAATGTTACTCTTATAACAAGCAAGACTTTTAATCTTAACAGAAATTAGTTACATAGTTGATGATACAGGAAACAGATACCCCACATTGAAAAATATGTGTCAAAGTAGACTAAAGCTCACTTATACTCAGTATAAAATCATACTTTAATTTTAAAAAGTTGTCCAACCAGTTATTTATTGAACATAAAATCAAGAGTCAGAAAATGGCGTATGGAGAGAGAAGTATAAACAAGACTACCCCTTCTAAAGAATTCTTTAGTCAGTGCATTTTATAACAGCGCACATGTTAGCAAAGGCACCAACCATCCTCCTCCCGATACATGTATTTACTTTGCAGGTAAGACGTTTGGTATTGTGGTGGGGATTCTTCATGGTACACCACACTCTGCACAATTCCATGAACTGGATTTAATAAATTTGGATCTTGGCACAATGACAACAGAGTGTTGATCTTAGAGTCCAACAAATTGTGCCTAAAAGACAAAAGTCAACAGGGGAACATTTTAAAGAAAAATTAAATGAAAATATATACTGAAAAACACATTACACAGTTCCCAGAACCATGGGATAGAAATGAAGGGGGAGGAGTGGTTTTCTAAAATTTCTACAGTGACTCTGTGTGTTTGCTTTGTTGCTGTTGTTTTTAGTCATCAGGGAAAATATGGTACAATCAATCAACTAGTACTGTCCATATAACCATGCTTAACCATCTGTATGTGGTGACTGTTTGCTCAAGACAAGGTTGGCTTCTGCCTGCCACTATTAGCATAATTTACAATCATTTATTTCTGCTGACTGTTGACATGTACCCAGAAAGTTAAAGTAAATTTAATGTTAACTAGTGTTTAATAATGTTGAATCGGATCAAATAAGGCAAACAAAATTAGTTTGGAGGGGGTGAACTATCTGATCCAATGCAAAACTTCCAAGAAAATTAACTATTTCTAATCAGGCTATCACCCATTAAAATAACCAAGAGCCAACTATTTAAAATTCTGAAAATTTTAAATGATATTTAACAAAAATAATGATACTACATAGAAGGCCTAGATCAGGAATAGAATTCCCCCAGTTTCTTTGGGACCTCTTTGAGGCCAATATGCTTGTCACCCTTAGGAGAGCATAAAACTCATCTCCCAAAGAGGTCAATTCTGTTTTCATTTAGTGCGGATAGGTACACAAGCTCTACTGAAAAAGAAGCCAAAGCAGGTATGCTGATTTAAATATAGTAGTCTCATGGTATGCTCCTAAGTGAGGAAATAAACAATGCTCATCATGGTGAACCACTTAAGAAAATCAACCAGATAAGAAAATGCTTACCATCTAAGCTAAAACCAGTCATATTATCTTACCTTCTCTTCTCCACAACCAGTGAACATTACTGGGTAGTACTTTGCCTAAATTTTTGTAAAACATTTGACTTCAAGACAGACACAAAAATTAAACACAAAAGGAATACTTACACAACAGGAAAAACTTTGGGGAAAACAACACTGGCTTCCGCTAAGTATTCATAAAGAATTCGTTGATCAAACTCATCCGTGGTATATTTTACCAGTGTAGCCTGCCAACGTGAAAAAAAGGAAACAGAAAATATTGTATTTTGTGGCTGAACTGCTATCTGTTTTGAGAAGCAGAAGACAGCTTTCCTTTTATGTTTTCAATATTTAAGGACTTTCTAAGAGACTGGAAAAAACTTGAGGTGGGGGACCCTAAAAAAGAGAAAAACCTTACCAGGACAGTAAGAAGAAGTGCTTGGATCTTTGGATCAGTAAGTACTTCCTCATCCAAGAGAACATTTGATTCTGACACTGAGACTTTACGTAAATGTGGGTGCTGTTGTGATGAGGAAATCCTCTGAGTTTCTGCAGTAACATACGGAGTAACATGATCAGCTGTATTAATAGTACATACTAGACACCACTTCACCTAATACATTTTAATGTTACTTATAAAACTCAATAGCTTTTTCAGAGACATTTAAAATATAAACATCATGCAGACTTACTCTTCACCTATACAAAAGTTTTGACTAGCTATTTACAATGCTATAGATTATAAATATATATGGTTACTCTTTACAGAGGTTATAGGATAACAGTCATTTTAAGAACTGCATGGCTTATTTTTTGAAAAAGAGCAAATGTTTCTATATTTCATCCTAAAAATTCTAAGAAATGGCTGGAAAGCAAATATGGCTTTAATGTACTCTCCCACCTGATTTTCAATGATCTAGATCAATTATTAACTTTGTTTCTCACCCATTTCATAATCAGTTTCTGCTACTCTCCTCATTTTGGGGGGTGTTGTGATCCCTGATTCCATTTCTTGCCTTTTAGGAGCCTTGGTGTCTGATATCAAGTGATCGAAACTTTTCCTTGTTCCTATAAACAAAAGTTACAGAATATGGAAAGTCATTAACCACAGTGTCTGTGATTAGGATTGTATTAAAAAGAAAATGTTTGGACACAAAGTGTTTACGTTTTCACTTAAGGACCCATAGAAAGCTCAAACATATCCCTAGGGTGTGGTTTCTCTCCTTTATTCTCCATCTTCTTAAGGAATTTTGGTCTCATAGCTTTCTGTTTCAGGGCAGAATGTACCTTATTGGTCCAAGTTAAACTGATATTACATTCACTACACTGGAGGTAAACTGATCCCCACCAACAAGTATAATACTTGATAATAAATAAATATGGGGTATATACTGTTAATAGTAGCCAAGATATGTCTTAACAGCCTTTTAACAATTTAAGAAATTCTGCTGGTGCCAAGAATTAGACAGTTACATATAAAGAATTTCCAAAAGTAAGCAAGTTCCAAGATTGATTTTAATTCTTCCAACTTTGAACAAAAGATCTGCCTGCCTGAAAGTACTAAATAATAGATACATTGCAAGATGCTTCAAAAATAGCTAATAGGGCCGAGCAGGAGTGGCTCAGTGGTTGAGCATCAACCTATGAACCAGGAGGTCACAGTTTGATTCCTGGTCAGGGCACATGCCTGAGTTGTGGGCTTGATCCCAGTGGGGGGTGTGCAGGAGGCATCTCATCAGTGATTCTCTCTCATTACTGATATTTCTCTCTCTCTCTCTCTCTCTTTATCTCTGAAATCAACAAAATTGAAAAATATTTTTAAAAAAGCAAATAGTACCATTTCCCACTTGCCTCTGAATTCTCTAATCCTGTATTGCACTGATGTCAAATAGCTTTCTCTTATTTAAAGTAAAGTACTGAAGTTGGATTATTTGGAACTTGCACTAAGTCTTGCCTGTTCTATTTAGGAAAACTATCCCAAACCTGACTCCTCTTCTTCGTTCTCCCACTGTGCCTGCCTTAGCGCAGCCTATACCATGTTTTGTTTGGATTGCTGTATCAATCTCTTAAATGGCCCCCTTTCCAAAAATCTCTCCCTATTTCTCCACATTGTAGCCAAAAGAACTATCATAAAAAAAAAAAATTGGTGATGTCTCCTCCCCCACTTAAAGATCCCTGCTGGATACACGGTAAGGCTAAGTCTCTTAACATAGCCTACAGTTCCCCACAATATAGTTCCAATCCTTTTCTAGCCTCATTTGCTACCCAATTGCTTTTCCTGACCTGTCTTTATTCAGGCCATTCATTCCCCTTCTCTCGAATGTATTCCGTCCTTGTCTTATGTCTACCTGGCAAGAATATATTAAATCTTCAATACTCAGTTCAAACATTACCTCCTTTCTGCAGCTTTTCCTAACTTCCCCAGATCGTCAGATTCCCCTCAACAAGACTTTACTTTTGTGATACCTAGGATGTTGTTATCAGCTGATTATATGTCTTAGCCACCAAACTATGAGCTCTTCAGAGCAGAGACCATAACTTTTTCATCTAGCACACGAGTTGAATGAAATTAATACTGCATTTTTTCTGAAACCAGTTTTTCATTTATAACTTCCTTGGCATGAAAATTCAGAATTAGAAAACACAAAGTAACCAGGAAACTCCTAGAAAATTATTTATGGCAAAGTATAAACAGAAAGGAACTCAAACAAAGGGTAACAACCCTATGTAACTAGCAACAAGGATTAGTATTCATGTTTTCAAGGTTTACTGGCAGGTTATTTCACATTATTGTTTGTTCACTGATTTCCTTATGAACACAAATTTTCCCAATACCTAGACACTTAAAAATATACTTGCATGGCCAAAACCGGTTTGGCTCACTGGATAGAGCGTTGGCCTGTGGACTGGAAGGTCCCAGGTTCGATTCCGGTCAAGGGCATATACCTGGGTTGCGGGCACATCCCCAGTGGGAGGTGTGCAGGAGGCAGCTGATCGATGTTTCTCTCTCATCGATGTTTCTAACTCTCTATCTCTCTCCCTTCCTCTCTGTGAAAAATCAATAAAATATATTTAAAAATATATATACTTGCATGGATAACTGAAACCCACTAGCCGTCCTCAGTGTTGGTGACTGAAATATGGATCCCAATGTATTTCAGTAACAATGTTGTGTGAGAGCCCCATTTGCATCTCCTCTGTGGTGAGGTGGACTCAGTGAGCTCTCATGACCTGCTGTCAGCTGCTGAAAAGGGAAAGGGTCTCACGGCACGTCAGGTGCACTTCTCATTGACAAATGTTGATGTAACTGAACAATCTTAACTGTCAAGATCATATCTTACAGTAAGAGAAAAACCTAGTATTAAAAAATCTTACTGTTTTGTCTTTTTAAAGAAAAGATGGCAAATAATGTTATTACAGCTTCATACCATACTGATGTATCCTGTTCTCTCTCAGATAATTAGGGACAGTATTGTTAAAGGCCCTGCATCTGAGTGAGCAGCTAATGTCTCTCCCACTCTCATTTCCCTGCTGCCTGGCCACAGCAGAACAAAACAAGGCCGGCCGCAGTATTTAGTCTAAGAATCAGAAAATACTGTTTTAAGGTGTCATTTTCATTCCTCATAACTGATATGGCTTAATTGATCCATCAAACACTCTTGTAACTGTCATCAAAAACTTTGCTACATCAAAACCAGGAAATTTTGATAAACTTGAACAGCTTCAAATAATTTTCTAAGAGTGAAAGTATCTGAGCATTAAAAAAAATAATTCCAAGAGATCTTAGATAATTTACAGACACTAACCAAGTAACTTCTTCGTGTTGGCCTGAGAAGGCTGCCCCATGTCCAAGCTCATGGATTTCCTGGCCCGGGGACTGGTCTGGCCCACTGTTGGATATGTGGCTGCAAGGTACCCTTCAGAACCTTTGGGAGAGGACCATGGTTGATTCTCCTTCAGAGTCCTGAGAGATTTAAATGATTGAGAAGAATTAATCAGCATGGTGAAGAATATAACCATTGGTTGCCCCTTCCACCTGGCTGTCCTATGATAGCAATCAATTAATTTTAAACTTGTGAATTAAAAGGCTTTTGAGTACAAACTCTTTTTTTGCCAATCTTTTTATTATTATTATTATTATTAGCTAAGGTATTACAAATGTGTTGAGTACAAACTCTTAATGTATCTTCAGAAAGAATCCACTTTCTTGGCATGCTATCTTATACATAGATCACAGAATGCTCAATAAAACTGTGCTACATTGATTTTTAAATCAGGGAAAATCAAGTCTAAATAGGCAATTGTATTCTTAGTTCAAAGACTAAGAAAATCAACCTAATTTATACTTTGACAGGGGAATACACACAAACTCACTTTCTCCTTTCCAAAATAAAAAGGGTATACCTCAAAGAAAGAGAATCATAGGAATGACTGAAGAATAAGACTGTCGAAAACCAAGTATGGCTCGAAAGCTTTTGCATACATTGTTAAAATTTCAGTGGGAAATTACTGGGGGCTTTTAGTGAAAAAGTGGCATGTTGATAAATTGAATGTTATAAGCTCTATAAATATAAGATTACTTTCCTATATTCAACATTATCTAAAATTTAGATACTTTCATTTAATTGGAGGTATAGCAAAATCCCTAAATGATATTTTCATGCAATTTCTCTTTTATAGAGAAAAATGTACTACCTCAAAAACACATATATAGGGGACATATCTTATTACCTTTCTAGAGGCCCAGTGCACGAATTTGTGCACCAGTGGGGTCCCTTGACCTGGCTTGCGGGATCCGGTTGAAACTGGCTCTCCGACATCCCCCAAGGGGGTCCCGGATTGCAAGAGGGTGCAGGCCAGGCTGACGGACGCCACAGGTGCACGATCGGGCCAGGGAGGGATGCGGGAAATTGGCCAGCTGGGGAGGGACGACGGGAGGGCTCCAGGGCGTGTCGAGCCTGTCTGGCTCAGTCCCGATCAGCCGGACCCCAGCAGCAAGCTAACATACTGGTCGGAGCATCTGCCCACTGGTGGTGAGTGCACATCATAGCGAGTGGTTGAGCAGCCTTAGCATATCATTAGCATATTACACTTTGATTGGTTGAATGGATGACTGGACGACCGGACACTTAGCATATCAGGCTTTTATTAGATAAGATAATCTATTATGTTATAAAAAACTTTTAAATAACTTTAGTGTGATATAATACAACAAATGTGTTGGCATGTACATTTCTTTTACAAGAAGTTGTTTTCATTAACCAACTTAGTTGTTTTTCATTAACCATGTAATGCTGCTTATATTTCATGCCAGTTTTTTTCTTAGGTCCTTTCCTGTAACCTAATACTTTTTAAGATCACTTATTTTCATATTCAACTGGTTTGTACTTAAAAGAAGCAAGCTAATGTTAACAGTAGCACAATGAGATTAGAAGAATAATTCTTCTACTACTAACCCACATAAAATACACTGTACATTTATAAAAACAAGTTTTAATTTACAAATTCTTCCTAGATTATCTCTATATTCCCTCCTGGATTTTTCTGCTGCATGCCTCCATTAGCAAATTAAATTAAAACCTGAGATTAGTTATGTAATTGTGGCAGAAGAAGTCCATTTACCTATAGCTAGGGTCACTGTGATGAATGGGATATGTATCCATAGGAACATTTTCCATTGAAATATCAGTAAGAAGAAGAGACTTTCTATGTTTTAGACTACAGCGACTTCGAACCTCCTCAGACACTGTGAGTAAAGCTAAGAGGAAAAAGAAGGCAGATTAGAAACTTTAACAAATCAGCAGCTGACTTAAAACAGGACACACTTCTTACAACCTCCTGATAAGAATAACAGCTGTTATTGATCAGTAGCCCTGGGGAGCACAGGGTTTAAGGATACAAAACACTGAGGACAGACTTAATAGCCCGTGTTTGGAAGCCTGTACATAAACATGAAATAAACTAAGAAACTTAATAAGCATCTTATATTTGAAGTCCTCTAATGAACCTTTGAGCTCAACAAACATAAAAAGTAGACAGAGCAGGTAGTATGAGGTCCATTTCTCTGAGATGTAAATGATTCAAACAAAAGTTGCCACAAACTGAAGTCTGCTAAACTGGAACCATCACTTTCCATCAAATGACTATACATAAGTGTTAAGTATTGCTGAGTAGAGAAATCAGGTAAGAGCAAATAATGTAATGGAATGGTGGGGATGGGCAGACATTTTAGGTAAAACAAGTGGCATCAGGAATGAATATTAAAGAGGCAGAAAGGCACTTTTAGGAGATGGCAAACATATTTCCTTAAAATAGCCCATCCATCCGGAGAGGTAATGAAAAAATGAAGCCTGTAAAATTTAGAGAAAGGACAGAATCAGCAGGCTGCTCAAGGGCCCAGGCTGCTGGGCCAAAGAGTTCCGATTTTATGACAGACAACAGGGAGCCACATGATATCTTGAAACAAAGATGATAAAAGGAACAACTTCATATTTTAATGCAAATTCTTTTATAAGAAAAAATATTTTTGGCAAAACTTTCAATTTAACCACCACATGGGATGGGACTGTGAACTCTTCACCCTGCCAAACAACCGGCTGAAGGACTAGCCCACAGGTGTCTGCATCTTTTTGAAGGTCCTTAGATACAGATGTGGTAAGATTAATTTTGTCAATTTTGTGTTTTTTACCTGCTAAGTAAGCCACGCTCTGTGTATTCACCTCAAATTTGTCACAATTCCTATGTTTGTTAACCAGAGTTAGTAGCGTATGCAAAATTCTGACTGTTCTTGCAACAATGGCAGGTGAAGGATGTCTGTACCCTACAAAAAATAAAAAAAGACAAGACGGTAGTTTATTCTTTCAACAGGTGTTTGCTGAGTGCTTATTCTGTGACTAGCAACTCTGAAAGAAGGCCATTTGGAAATAAAACAAACATTTGTGAGAAATTAATTATACATAGGGTTAAATACCAAGTTGTGTAGAACAGAATGTTTCTTAGAATTCTAAGGCAGTGGTCGCCAACCGGTGGTCCATGAGATCTGAAAGGTTGGCGACCGCTGCTCTAAGGTACCTCAGGGAGAAGAAATCAGGAAAGATGATTGTGTTTTAGATCTTCCATTCCCTAAAGCAGAAGAGATTTTTAAAAATCCCATGAAACTCACTTTAAGATATATCATGAAAATATGTTTCTATTGCTTAAAAATTTGGATTTTTTTCCATCATCATTTATCCCCCTATACCCTCTCCCACTCCACCTCTGCTCCCCTAAAAATACTTTTTTAACTTAAAGAAAAAGCCTAAATGACAAATGAAGTATATGCTTTCAAAGCCTCAAGAATAGGGTTGATTAAAGGGTAAGCTTAATTTTCAGACAGTGTTTAATCACTAATGCTACTACATTTTAAAATAGGGGCTTGTGCACTTAAAATATCTGATATTCTTTTAGAAGTACAGAATAAGCAAGCACTCTATCAGCCCCACTGCAATCCCTCTTCTTGGTATCCTGTAGTAAGTGCAGTATTTTTTGAGTTCTCCTTATTCACCTTAGAGATTAAAACTGTCAATATTTTTTGCAGTGGTGAAATCAAATATGGGGTGGGGCAAAAGTAGGTTTAAAAGTAGGTTAAAGTAAGTTCCAGTTGTTCACATGGATAATACTATAATCAATAATTAATAATATAGGAATAAACTCTGTTTTCATATTCACAATTGTAAACCTACACCCTGTATGCACAAAGTTGTGTGTATACGTGTTATATTAGGTAAAAACTACCTCCATGATCCCTCCCTCAAGCTTAAAATCATTTAAATTGATATAAAACTACTAGAGTAGAGGCCCGGTGCATGAAATTCATGCACTTGGGGGGGGGGGGATGCAGGCCTAAGCTGTCAGTTGGACATCCTTAGTGCAGCTGTGGAGACAGGAGAGGCTCCTGCCACCACCCCACCACTGTGCTCACCAGCTATGAGCCTGGCTCAGGGCTTCTGGCTAAGCAGTGCTCCCCTTGTGGGAGCGCACTGACCACCAGGGGGCAGCTTCTGCATTGAGGCATTGAGAATCTGCCCCCTGATGGTCAGTGCAAACCCCCTGGTAGTCAGTGCACGTCATGGTGAGTGGTTGAGCGGCCTTAGCATATCCTTAGCATATTACGCTTTGACTGGCTGAATGGCCGAATGAGTGACTGGCCACTTAGCATATTAGGTTTTTATTATATAGGAGAGACTCAAGCTCTACCATGAGTCTCTATTGTGGCCAAATCCAAAACTGTTTAAAATCACTGGTTCATGCCAACTCTTCATTCCCGTCCTTCCTTTTCACTGACTTTGCCTCTGACTCACCATTATATGATGTCCCTGTTAACTGCCATCTCTGGCCATGACTGTCCCGTGTTAATTAACCAACGCTAACATGCAGTGAAGTCAGCAGTGGGCAGTAAAGCCAAATTAGGGAGGGATGGCTGATCATTGCTATAGCAATCCAGACATTTGGAGGGGTGAAGGTAGAGTACCAAAAAGGTGATATAATAATGGGGCTGATCAACAACAAATAAGAAACAAGTTAAAGAAAATCTGTGACCAAATCACTAAGATATTATTTTAGGAACATGTTAGAAAATGTTATTTATTTGCAGTCTGTCTTATTTTGATAATCAAAATGATATATAAGTAGTGTTAACGAATAATACAGATATTAGAAGATTTAGTACTTAAGAATTTTATAAAAATCAACTTTTGCTTTATTAAAGAAATCTGGTATTGGATGGGAAATTAGGCTCCGTTAAAAACATATATTAAACAGAACATAATTCAATATAGCAGATAAAATTTGCATTTATAATAAGACACATGACACAAATTATTTCAAGCAATTATTTTAAGTACTTTTGAATTCTTGATACCATTTCATAAATATTCTGACACAAGCCCCTCTACCTTTTAAAAGGTGTCCAACCAGTGCGAAGTTAAAATTAGAGTTGAAATTGAGTCCAACAAAATGATCCATTTGTTTGCAGTGCCATTCCAGTGGATTCCGGATTGCCATAAATACTTCCTCCGGACTCTAGTAAAGATAATAGTGAGATGGTTGATGGATTCACACAGGAACTTTCCTTAAAGGACCACTTATTGGTTCAACAGCTATAACAAGATAATCCTTTCAAGCTGAAAGAAATCATTTTTAAGACTACTGAAAACCACAGAACATTAAGGTACTATAAATTAATTAGTGCAAGAAAGGTGATCATATAAATAATAAGATGATGAAAGATGAAATGCAAACTAAATGACAGTCAATTTACATCCTTGTGACTTTTTAAAAACTATAATTTTTGTTGCTTTAAATAAGACTACCACTGTATGGGCTTTTTGTGTATCTGGCATTCTGTGTACCATGGTGACAGAAAATTCATGACAAAGATGAGAGTTCACTCACTGCCTACAGTATACAATGCCAGATGCATTATTACAATAATGTTGAAACCTTAAAGCAATCCTATGCAGTAAGGTTATTAGCTCCCTTTTCCAGATTTATGCATTTATTCATTCTTTTACTTATCAAAGACTTACTGTGTGGTTTTGATGTGCCAGGCAGAGTTCTAGGTTCTGCAGATAACTAAACAGACAAAAACGACTCACCCTGGTGGGCTTTACATTCTGGGGGGGGATGAGGAAACTGAAACTCCAAAACAGTATGCAATGTGCCCAGGGTAATAGTGTTTCCTAAAGTGTGGTTCACTTTAAAGTCACGGAGGATGCTTGTTTAAAGGTGGAAGGTACTGGATCCCACCTCTGAATCATGGGAAGTGGTTAAACCCCAGGAATTTGCCTTTTTAATTTTTTTTTTTAAAGAACCCCAATGAGCCTGGATGGCGTGGCTTAGTGGTTGAACATTGACCTATGAACCGGAAGGTCACGGTTCGATTCCTGGTCAGGGCACATGCCCGGGTTGCAGGCTCAATCCCCAATAAGGGGCATGCAGGAGGCAGCCAATCAATGCACTGATGTTTCTATCTCTCTGCCTCTCTGCAACCAATAAAAATATATTACAAAAAATAAAAAAGATCCCCAGTGGTTTCTTTATGCATAAAGATTTTTGAAAGCAAACAACTGAAGTGTTTAGAGTCATGCTCAGGTCTGTCTAGATTTTGATCTCAAAGAAACAGAAGCATGAGTATATAAAATATATGTAGTGAGATGTTAAGAGCAGCACTGAACATATGTATATGCATCATCTCACATATTCACCTCCCAGCCCCCTTTTTGGTGAGAACATTCAACTTCTACTCTCTCAGCAAATTTCAATTACATGTGAAATGGGGGATGGAGAATGCTAACCTTTACCTTAGGGTTATAAAAATTAGCCTGACATGGTAGCTATTATTACTACTAAGCATTATTTATCCCTATTCTGTTTACTAGTGTTGAGCGAGTACTGTTTTCTACTATTTTTATTCAGAAAGTTACATTATAGAAATTCATTTTTAAGTTGGGACCTCTTCTGATTTTAAAAGGATAATAATAATAATGAACGAAGGAGTTCTAAATGTGCATAATCTAGGAATCCCAAAAGAAGGCTTCCTTACCTTGTCATTGAATATCCGGAGACTGTCTAAGGTGTGCAGGTTTTGTTCAAGAAGTGCGGTGCCTGCTGAATACAAGTTGACCTCATCGAGCTGCAGCACGGCCACAGCTACCCAAAAGAGGGCTTTGTGCAGAGGGGAGTCCTGGCCAAGGAGACACGTTCAGGTTAGTAACATGAACCACAAAACAGTCTCATTCAACACACTTCAGTACAAGAACAAAGCATGTTATCCCCAAATCATAGGGTTCTTTCTTTTATTAGTATGTGACTCTGGGCATGTTTTTTATTCTGGGGAAGGGAAATATATGAGTAAGCTCTTTATCTATTCTCTGTATGTAACCAGACACTGAGAACCTTAGCATCTCCTTTGATTTCTTCCCACACTCTGGTTCCAAATCCAGTCAATAAGTTTTTTTAAAAAATATATTTTTATTGATTTCAGAGAGGAAGGGAGAGGGAGAGAGAGATAGAAACATCAATGATGAGAGAGAATCATTGACTGGCTGCCTCCTGCACGCCCCACACTGGGGATCGAACCCGCAAGCTAGGCATGTGCCCTTGACTGGAATCGAACCTGGGACCCTTCAGTCCATAGGCTGATGCTCTATCCACTGAGCCAAACCAGCTAGGGCAACAAGTTTTACTGATTTTTCCAACTAATCTCTTTTGCATCTGCTAATGGCTAATGACACTATTCCATGCCAACCTTCTTCATCTAAATGTGGATTCTTTTTACCTCGTTTCTCCATGCTCCCATCTGCTCTGCACTCTACTACCGAATGACCCTTCTAGGGTCCTGCTTTTGTCATATTACCTATTTGCTTGAAAACATGGGTACATTTCCAAACTCCTTCCTGAAGAATGCTGAATGTTAGTTTAGTTCTATCTTTACAACCTCCTCTGTCACTATTTTCCTGAACAGTTTCTCCCTAACAAATAGAATGGTCTACCTACCATCCCTCCACTGATCTAGCACCTATACAATCCTACTGTTATCACTCCCTTTCTCCACACTAAATCCTACCTATCTCCCTCTTTAACTTTTGTTCAGATTCTACTCTTTCAATTTTCTTGTCACTCTTACCAGTATTAAGAGTCTCTTGATGCTCTGAAATAAAAATATTTATCTTGGGAACCCTTATTTAGTAGTGTGGTATATAGGGCAATACATGTACAGCCTTAGATTAGAATCATGGTTCTTTTTTTTATTAGTATGTGACTCTGGACAAGTTACTTAGCCCCTTTGACTCTCATTTTTACTTGTGAGATGAAGAAGAGAGAAACATCCTATATAATAATCCTATATAATAAAAGGGTAATATGCAAACTGACCCTAACAGGAAAATGACTGGGGATGACTGGTCACTATGACACACACTGACCACCAGGGCGCAGACGCTCAATGTAGGAGCTGCCCCCTGGTGGTCAGTGCACTCCCACAGGGGTAGCTCTGCTCAGCCACAAGCCAGGCTGACGGCAGCCAGCACAGCGGCAGTGGTGAGAACCTCTCTCACCTCCTCAGCAGTGCTAGGGATGTCCGACTGCAGCTTAGGCTTGCTCCCCGCTGGCAAGTGGACATCCACGAGGGCTTCTGGGCTGCCAGAGGATGTCTGACTGCCAGCTTAGGCCCAATCCCCCTGGGGAGTGGGCCTAAGCCAGCAGGTGGTCATCCCCCGAGGGGTCCCAGACTGCGAGAGGGCACAGGCCGGGCTGAGGGACCTCCCCGCCACCGCCCCGAGTGCACAAATTTTTGTGCACCGGGCCTCTAGTCTTATATAATTTAGGACTAGAATGCTTATGTAAGTCAAGACCAGGAGCATATAAGTATTTTTCTGTAATCTATTTCAAGTCTAGCATATGTTGGTACTCAAGTCACAAAATTCTACAAAACTGTAGAGTTGGAAAATAAACAATGCCATTATCTAGTCTAGTTTACTTATTTTATCAATGTGCAAACATGATGGCCAGATATGTTAAATGACTTGGTTGAGATCACAAGATGAGCTCATACCATCCTAAAACAGTGGCCACTCCATTTTATTCCTTTTAAATATCATCTTCTTGATAATCAGCAGGTATACTTCACTCAGCTTTACATTTCTCCACAATAATAACCATGAACTAACATACTATGTATTTTACTTACTTTGTTTATTTATCCACTCTACTCCCACTCACCCTAGAATGTAAGTTCCATGAGGGCAGGGAACTTTATTGGCTTTGTTCAGTATTATGTCTCTAGCACCTAAAACAGTAGTTGGCATATAGTAGATACTTTATCAATACTTACTAGATAAAACAATTAAGAATATATACCTATTTTTCCTTTAGCACTGATGAGACAAAACACACGCATTTGAGAACATAATCTTCATACTTATTCTTCCTCTAATGTAAATATTTCAAATAACTACTTTAACTATAACTTTTTCTTTATAACTACATTTCCCAACCCATCTATTTTTGTGAACTATTTGAAAGAAAAGATTTCACACCAGTACCCAAAATGAATGCACTCATTTTCTATTACCTTATTAAGAAGTGGTTGTAATTTGGTTAGTGCTATTACTGTAGCTTCTATCAGAACTTGACTGTTGTAAGTATCAGGTCCTTTTAAGCAACTCTCAAGTGCCTTTTAGGGAAACAGAATTCTTTATTTTACTTTCATTAAAATAAAACATTAACTCTTAAACCGAATCTCAGAATCAGTTCAAGAACAATTTCTTATTTAATAAATGACAGATTATTCCCAATGCTATAGTGATCTAGGTAAGCTTAATGCACATTTGACTTTTATTTTTTAATATTTCTATATTATATTCTAATATTAAGAAATCAGACATTATAATTATTACAAATTAAATAATTTTATATAAGACTGCAGCTTTACCATATAGTTAAAGTCTTTGAAAACTGATAAAATATTAAGAGTATCTTCTTAGCAAAAGAGACAATACTTATTTTCTTTTTAAGACATCTTTTTTTGGAGAAGGTTTCTTCATTTTAAAGAATTACAATGAAGAAAATAAAGCTCATTGTTTAAAGATTCAATAAGCAACATACAACACATCTTATTAAATTCAAATTTAATGTCCTTTAGAGAAATGCCAGATTTGCTTTACAACTTGGGAACCACCAATACTGAGGAGGGGGGAGAGGTACCTTGCTGAGAATACGGATAATCTGCTTTATCTGTCCATGAGCCACTCGTTTGCTGATGCAGCCAAAGACAACAAGAGCCCTTGGCTGAAGGGATGGATTATACTGAAATGCAAATCTGCAATTAAAAAATCCGAAGAGCTAATGAAAACTTTTATTTTTATACACAACACATAATTAAAATATTGATTATGAAGTATTAGCTATCCTTTTGAAAATACACACACTTTTACAACTTATATTTGAGACATACCTTTGAGCTAGTTCTGTCCACTGGTCCAGCCACTTGCATGTTGGAATATCTCTCATACATGCCTAAAGAAAGGATACTCTGAATATATTTATGCACATAACTGTTTTTAGAAACATTTAGATGTTTATTGTAATGTCATCAAGTAAATAATATATGTTACCAATAAACATATTCCATAAAGGCATTTTTATTTAAGTAGTAAGTGCAAAGCAAAAGAAGCCATATTTCTTCTATAAAGAAATAGTATGAGTGGGTTAAAAAAGGGACCTAACTCAGTTCCTTATCATTTTGGGTTATATACCTCCATGATCTCCAACAATGCCTCAGTGACTGTTTCCAAGGATGTCAAAGCAAAAGTCTCCCTCTCGTAGGAGCCAGGAGAGAATGACCTGTCCCGGTAACTGGAGCGGAAGGCGATGACAGCGGCAGACTTGACTTTGCTGATGCCAAACAGCAAGTAAAATTTGGGCAATGAGAACTCTGTCAAACTAAGTCTCAAAACTTGCTTGGTCTCTTCTGTAAAAGGAAAAATAAATAAGAAAAGACTTTAAAGATACTAAATTTTATTTTTTTAATTTTATTTTTTTAATTGAATTTAGTTTCTTTTTTTTTCTTAAAGTATTACAAAGAGTATTACATATGTCTCCCTACCCCCTTGACAATCCCCTGTCTTATGTCCATTGGTTATGCTTATATGCATGCATACAAGTCCTTTGGTTGATACTAAATTTTAAATTTCAAATGCCATGCTTCATTTTGAATTTAGAAAATCTGAATATCATGTCAAAATTACATAACCATGCTCCCTAAACCAACCCTCTAGAAACATTATCTTAATTGTCATGGCTTTAGCGCCAGCAATGCAACACTGTCAATTGGTGCTGAGTCTTTAGCTTGTGTGGCAGCTACAAGAGTCTACATGGCAAATAAGCAGAGAAAAATCTCTGCTATAGCTTGATATGGCATGGAATTAATTTAATCTTTGAATGAGCAGCGTAAATTAAGAGTTTTGCATTAAGGCACCATAATAAACAATAAGATAGATAATCTATGTCAATCAGGTGGTGTAAAATGGATACAGGAGCTGGTGAAACACAAATTACCATCCTGGAACTTACCACTAAAATGAAGCTGTGTACAGGTACATAGAGAGTGAATGATATTAATGACCAATCCATGTGTGGAAGCTCTAAGGGAGAGTGGCCCTGTGGCCACTAGGAAAGTAACCACGTGGAAGAGGTAGGGGAGATGAGCTGCTACGTCCAGGGAGTTGTTGAAGGACAGCATCAGCATGTAGCGTGCTAGAATAGCAATATCGTCCCACATGAGATGTTGTTCTAAAGTAGGCGTTGGAGACAAGCATGTCTTATCAATTATTTTGCACATCCTTCCAATAACCTGTAAGGAAGCAGAATTTTAAAAACAGGGCCTAAAAAAAGTTTTATCACTAAACACTTTCAGTTTAACTACTTACAAACAAACAAAACATTCTGATGACAAAAAGAGATACATTATGCCATATGTATTACCAAAGGAAACGAAAAGTGATTACCTTGCTTGAAACCAATTTCACGTTTCCAGAAGCCAGAGCTACAGCAGTATCTGCCATGACCTCAGCTTTTATTGATCCCAAGCCACCTGTCGCACTGGTTTTGATGAAACTGTCCAGTACAACATCAAGGAGATCTGTGATCTAGTGGAAGAGGGGAAAAATAATTTTTTAGCCATGCTACCATCTTAATTTTTAATTTAAAAACACTTCAAAAAATACTTCAAAGAGCAGCCTGAACATGAAAATTCCCTTTTATCAGAGCCCTCAAAATATTAGGTTTTATGTAGAGATCTATCAGTAAGTGTACTTTATCATAAAATACCCAGAAAAGGATGAAGATATTCACTTCATTCCTTCAAAAATTAAGAAACTAGAATTCAAAAATTTTAAATCTCTCTATATTATTATTACTTGCAAAGCATCTGTGTTCTCTTCTAAGATAATGTATGATCAATATAAAATGTAATTATTTGAAAATATAGGAAGTGACATCAAGCACAGGGATGTTCTATAGGGCTACAGAACTGGTTCCAAGGTCACTTAAAATCATTCAGAGGATTCACAGCATTGTTTGAGTAAGGGCATAGCTTCCCTGAGTGATTCCTTTGAAGAAATTACATGCATAATTCTTGACTGATAAGAAATAAAATGTTACATTATATTCTGTATTTTAATACTGGTGCTCTATGCTAGAACTATAAATAAAAGCAGTTGTCCCATCATCAAGAAACACTCACTGACACCAATGGTATGTAAGCTAATAGAGTATCATAAAGCACTATTTACTAGCAGCAACATTTTTATAGTTAAATTGTATAGAATTATGCGGTGGAGAAGAGTGCTAAAATAACTCGTTTTTCTTTGGCTCTGAGACATGCATTAGACATTTATAGTTTTGAGCCAGAACAAGAAGTTAGTGGGCATCTGTATGCTTTTTGATAGAAGGGACTGTGTTTTCTACAGCTATACCTAGAACAGTGCTTTGCATAAACTGGGTACCAAATATTTGCACAAAGAAGGTAGGTACCAGATAAATGTTTAAGCAAACTCAATACCTGCCCAAGGCTCCCCCATATTTTTGCTTGAATAGATGGGTACATCTGTTTCTCATTTATGGTCATTGTTATCAGCTTATCAAGAATAGCAGTGACTCTTTGTCGTTTGGCATCATCATTGTGCTTACAAAATCGAACAAGATTTGACAGCCATGGAGTCATGTATTCTAAACAAAGATGTTTCAATTCAATACCTGGGGGGAGAAATATGCTATTAGCATAGATGGTCAATGAAAAGTAAATAAACAATTATTTTACTTAATAATATTTTAAATTATTTTAAAATACAGGATTTGGGGGTATAGGGGTAAAAGGTAATTAAGATAATGTACACTTATGTGTACAACTCCTCCACAAAAACTTAAGACTTGTGAAAAGATGTAAAAATAGTACAAAAATTCCTTTATATACTTCATGTAAAATCCCCCACTTTTTTATTGTGGTAAATATATGCGACATAAAATTTACCATTTTTAAGTGTATACAGTTCAGTGTACACTTATGCAGTAAGTGCATTCACATTGTTATACAACCATCATCACCATCCATCTCCAGAATTTGTTCATCTTCCCAAACTGAAATTCTGTACTCATACATTTTTTATGGCTTCATATTATTCCATTACATGGAGATCCAACAATTTAATCAGTCCTTTATTGTTTGTACTTTCAAGTAAAATTTATAAAAATTTAAAATTTGACCTCATTTTTAACCCTCAAATCTCATAGAATTTTTAACTGGATTGCCCTGAATTTGTAACAATCTGGGAAGAATTACTCATTCAGGAACACAGTATGCCTGTTCACTTAAATCTCTTCATATATTAATATTTCTCAATAAAGCTTTACACTTTTCTTGTTTTATCTTACCCATTTTCTTTTTAGGGTTACATTCTGCATTCATTACTATAAAAAAAAATAGTGGCCTGATTTTGATGAATTGTCAAAGCTCTCAACTGTCCAATGCAGAACAATCAAGAAATGTGTTTAAATGCAGAAAAACAGGTCTTATGTGTTATGGAGAGAGAAAGGGAAAAAATGTTAGTAAGTAAGCTGTGAGAACAGCAACATTTATACTACTGCAGGATGTGAAGATGGACAGATGTGAAGAGTAGATGTTAAATCCATGAGACGTATTGAAGCCAAGTCAGGAGTTGACCCTGGACCTGAATTATATGCACTGCGCTCTCCAGGAACTGTACATGAACAATAAAATCATAATTCAAAGTCAAGCTGAAGAAAAGAGAAAACATTTCCCTAAATCAAGGAGACAATGTACATGTTTTACTAATTTGGAATAATCTAAGAAGAGAAATGCTGAAGCTAATTAAACTGACACATGTTGAGAAAAATACTTTGTGAGTGGGTTCAGAGGCATGTAAGGTATCAAAACTTTGCCACCTTGATTTATTGCCAGGATTTTAGTGGATCTGTCAGTGTGGTATGCCATAAAGTCCCTTCAGAGTGCCTTCAGTTACAGAGTACCACAGGTGAAAAATTAAAAGAGGTAAAGAGGTAAAAACATAATCAATTAGAGATTTCACTGGTAACTCCTGAAATGAAAGCGTTTTCTTTGAATTTTCTTAGAATTATTGTTAACACATTAAAGGAAATGATCATTACTTACTAGATTTGCTAAATCCAGAAATACACTCTTCCAAAAATTCTAAGGTGAGGTGTGGCTCATTGGCTGCCAGCGTCTTACTAATGGAGACAATAAAGAGGGTGTTGTTGGCAGGGATACATAAACCTGATGTCTCTAGTAACTGGCCCTCGATTTTTAAATTAAAGGTACAGGTTAAGGCACACAGAAGATTATAGGCAGCTGACCTAGGAGAAAACACAAATACATTTGTTTTAAAACTTATTTTTTTTAATTCCAAAATTTTTTCATAACATAGAACTTGTGATTTTATTACAAAGCATAATCAACTATTTTTTAAATTTATGATCAATTAGAGTTGTTATGATTCTAGAGTAAAACCAAAATACCCTTTGATCCCTCAGGGATTTTTTTTTAAAGCAATAGTGTTTATTTATTTATTTTTATTTTTTAAATTTTAAATCTTTATTGTTTAAAGTATTACATAGGTCCTCCTTTTTCCCCATTAACCTCTTCCAGCCTGTTCCCATCCCCTCCACCCTAAGGCCCTCACCATCCCACTATCTGTGTCCATGGGTTATGTACATGTGCATACAAATTCACTGGTTGATCTCTTCCCACCCGCCCCTTCCCCCGCCTTTTCCCATCCCCTCCACCCTAAGGCCCTCACCATCCCACTGTCTGTGTCCATGGGTTATGTACATATGCATACAAATTCACTGGCTGATCTCTTCCCACCCGCCCCTTCCCCCGCCTTCCCAAAGGGCAATTCTTGACATAACCAGAAGAGCACTCTGAGGCTCCTAAGACAGGTGAGGATAAGGCCTTCCTAAAAGACATCTCACTGAGACGTAAAAGGTGAGTGATTTATGATTAACAGAAAGAAAGAGTAAGGCATACTGCATATTCAGTGAAGCTGAAACTCAAATTGTGGTTCCTCCTCCTGCTAGATCCAGTTATAATGCAGATCATAAGAAGGCAAATGAAATGGCCCCTCATCATATTAGAATGTTAAAATCTTTAATTGGCATCTACTGAATCTCTTCCTGGGTGTCCTACAAGTTACACTACAATTTTTTTTAACATAATCAAGTCCCCCTCTATTCTTCCATGAACCCCTTCCACATAACTATTACAAATAAAAAAACAAACAAAAAGCTTAATATATATATCCAGATTTCATTAGAACAAAAAATTCCCTTATAAATGTCTGAAAATAGATTTAAACAATTTAGGAGAAAGCTCAAAAAACTCAGATTCATTTTTAAATTTTAATTTTCTCTCCTATAGAGCAAAAGAAATGGTTTGATTGCTCAGTAATTTTCAGGTTTTCCTTGCCTCTGAACTTCCATCATACTAATATATTTATGCAATAGACACAGAGGGAGGAAAAGCCGCTGAAGTTTAAGTCTGCCACAAGGCATTTTCTCTGGCATGACATGCTCCAGCAAAAAGCAGAAGCTGTCACCGTGCTTTATTTCACAGGAGAAGAATATAGATTTACCAAGCAAATGATTTTTAGAAGATTGTTAGCATTCTTGGATGAGGAACTTTAAATTAGATATTAAAGGCATACATATAGCTCCATTTTCCCCAAATGAGAATATTAAGATTATTATTTCTAAGTTTATGTATCTCTTACTAACTCCTAGGAATTCTGAGTTATACCATTTTGACATTGACTACTCTGCATATTTCTTTTCTTAGCATATTTTTATTGATTTCAGAGAGAAAGAGAGAGAGAGAGAGAGAGAGAGAGAGAGAGAGAGCTGATTGGATGACTTCTGCATGCCCCACCCTGGGGATTGAGCTGGCAACCCAGGCACATGCACTGATCAAGAATCAAACCATGACCTCCTGGTTCATAGGTTGATGCTCAATCACTGAGCCACGCCGGCCGGTTTGGAGATTTTTTGACCCTTCAGTCCACAGGCCGACACTCTCTCCACTGAGCCAAACCAGCTAGGGCTACTCTCTGCATATTTCAACAACTATAAAGAACTGAGGTGCTGGCCCTGGCCAGGTAGCTCAGCTGATTAGAGAGTCATCTGGATACGCCAAGGTTGCCAGTTTGATCCCTGGTCAGGGCACATACAAGAAACAACTAATGAATATGCGCATAAATAAGTGGAACAAGAAAGTGATGTTTCTCTCTCTCTCCCTTCCTCTCTCTCTCTAAAGTAAAAGAGAAGAAACTGGGGTCCCTCAATGTGGGGGTAGGTGTCAGACTTCCCTGAGAATTGAATAAGAGCAAAGAATACACAAAATCTTGTGTATAATTTCTGAGAGTTCATGAACCCCATGAGACCCACCCATGTAAAAAAATCTTGATATTTTCCCCCTTTTAAATAGGGAGATCTGGAACCTTAAAAGGCCCACTTACTAAACCTGGGCTATGTTCTATCCTAGGGAAGATTTTCTGAAGCTAAGAATTTATATATGTAAAAACCTTGACAGTCTCAAGGTACTTCGGAGAAAAAATTATCCTAACATGAAATGGAGACTGGAAAAGAGGAAGAAGTACAAAGAGACACACAGGGGTGGAGGGATAGAAGGGTGGGGAAGTTGGGAGGAAATAATATTTACTAAGCACAAAGTATTTTCTAGGGGCTATACTATACTATGTGACATACTATTAAATATTTGTAAGTATATAAGGATGACATTGTATTTTTAAAATGAGGAAACAAGCCCTGGCCGGTTTGGCTCAGTGGATAAAGCTTCGGCCTGCGAACTGAAAGGTCCCAGGTTCGATTCCGGTCAAGGGCATATGCCCGGGTTGTGGGCTCAATCCCCTGTGGGGGACTTGCAAGAGGCAGCCAATCCATGATTCTCTCTCATCATGGATGTTTCTCTCTCCCTCTCTCTCTTCCTTCCTCTCTAAAATCAATAAAAATATATTAAAAAAATAATAAGAACCAGCATTAAAAAAAAAACGAGGAAACAAGCTCAGGTTCAGTACTTTGCCTAAAGGCATACATAACTGATCTATATTTAAACAAAATCTACTGAGCCCTAGCTGATTTGGCTCAGTGGACAGAGCATCGGCCTATGGACTGAAGAGTCCTGGGTTTGATTCCGGTCAAGGGCACAAGCCAACGTTGTGGGTTCGATCCCCAGTGTGGACCGTGCAGAAGGCAGCAGATTCTCTCTCATCACTGATGTTTCTCTCTCTCTCTCTCTCTCTCTCCCCCCCCTTCCTTTCTGAAATCAATAAAAATATATTACAAAAATAAATAAACCAAATCTACTGACTACATAAGAGATGCTCTTTCCTGATTTGTGTCCAGATTATTAAGCCTAAACAGAACCAATTATCTCTGCTCAGATGACATCTATATTTATCTCAAGATTTCTTTCAAGAATTTTGTTCAAGTCACATAGATGGAAAATATGCAACAATGTTATTGTTTGAGTTATGGAACATTAAGCCTTCCTTTGCAAACAATGATAATCAAATTGAACTGCAAGGGACCTTAATAGTGATATACATTGAACACGGGAAAACTTAATTACAAGACTCAGAGGAGGGAAACTTAATTTGGGAGTAGACTTAATAAAAAACAAATTTCGGGGAAAACCCCCAAACTGCTACGTTGTCTGTTTCAGATGAAAGTTTCCTGGACAAAGAACATATATTGGTTTAGTGTGAATCACCATATTCAAAATTCCACAGTTCATGTGAATATGCCACAGCTTGATGAGGTCATGCTGGTTAACCAACATAGCATACCTCCCAATTTACAGTATTAGGGTAGAGGCTGCTTTCACAGCTTACTAAGTGGTTCATTTTAAAAGCAATAAACCTTGAATAAAGTTGAAGTGCATTTTTTAAATAACTTACCGTAAACTAGGATCTGAACTGCCTAAATTAAGTAATGCGATATTGAGCAGCGTCCCAGGGACATCTTTTGGCCGAATCTTGGTGTGCTGGGGGATAGAATCTGGCTGCGACAGCTCCCAGCGTGTCCGGATGTGAATGATAGACTGGACAATGGCATCACACTCCTGGTGCATGAAGGTGAGTGGTGTGCCCTGGTTTGCAATGGTTAAGGTGAACTGGTTCTCATCCACTAGGCATATTTCTTCAATTTCCGAAGCATAATAGATATCATTGAGAAAGACTGACTGCCCCAGGACTTTTGTTCGCTCTGCTGAGGTTACCTGAACAGCAGTAGAACCAACCTGGAAAGTGGTGGTGAGAGGGTGGAGTGAAGAAGAATTAAATTCCATTATGTTGAATTGTAAGAGGCCCCAAACCAACCAACCAACCAAAATATTATATTTGCCGTATAAGAAAGAGTTACCACCATTACATATGCAAATAATTATTGTAATAAATGCTCTCAAAGAGACTAAAAACATCAGAAAGAATTAGTTTTTAAAAAGAGGTCAAGAATTCTATGGACAATTACTGATTTTATCCTGAAAGTTCTTGTTTCTCATTCTGTAAAAAGCATGCCTTAATCAGAATCTCACTAGATAATTTCCACACATTGGTGCCATCTGACTGATATAGAGCAAACTGCCTTCTCTACAATACTCTCCTATCTCCAACCCAACTAGAACTAAGTGTACACATCTTGTATCATCCACAGGACTCCATGAAGATAGAAAGCTTAGTTCTCTCTCTGGACTTACATTTGTTACAGTACCACAGGGGCACTTAGGAAGGCCAGCGTACAGTCTGGTTAGTCAAGAAAGGCAGCGAAGCTAACAGAGTGAGTGGCACTTACTTTGATAGAAACCTTGGTGTCTTTGTGAGCCAGCCTGAGCGCGTTGTGGAACACCTTCAGATCCTCTTCCAATGCCAAGGTGGCAGCGGGTAGCTTCTGCTGCTCGTGCTCTATGTGCTCAGCCAGTTTCCCGGGACAGTCTATGAAAATGAGCCTTTTGCTGCCTTTGAGGCCAGTCAGCAGCCGCTCGTGATACTTGGTGTACTCCCTGACCCAGGAGTTACAGTTATAGATATAAACTGCAGAGACGTTGTCATAAGCAAAGCCAGGAAAAACAACAAACCACTTGGAGAGAAAGTCCGTTTTAAAGCGATTGCTAGGCCCAGTATGGGTAAGGTCCACTACAATTTCATATGGCTTTGCATAATATGGCTTTAAAGTCAGCAAGACATGGTATATTAGCAAATCACCGTTGATTTGACCAGTTTTGAACCTAAAAAAAGATGACACACAAAAAAGGACACAGATTCTTAACAGAGTTCTGAATAGATACATAGATGCTACTAATCTATTTTATTACTTTATTTTCTGATTAGCTTTCTAGAGAAAACTAACAATAATACAAAAATTATACAAAGTCTGGATCCTTTTATTAATCCTAACCCAAGGATATGTTTGGATATGTTTTTATTGATTATCAAGAGAGAGGGAGAAAGGGAGGGAATGGGAGGGAGGGATAAAGGGTGAGAGTGAGAGAGAGAGAAACATCGACTGGTTGCCTCCTGTGTATGCCCCAACCAGGGATCAAAGCCACAACCTAGATGCATGGGATGATGCTCCAACCATCTGAGCCACCTGGCCAGGGCTGGGTCCTTTTTCTAAATCAGCTGTTCTTTAGACATTGAGAAATAATGCTGAAGTAAAACAGAAGGGACAAATCTCCAATTTGAAAACTCTGAGCTATGACAGTAACAACAAACTTGTCCATCACAGTCAATCAAGGAAGAAGGCAGTGGACTTTGGTAAGTGGCCTCCAGGACCACCAAACTTCCCAGGCGAACAGTCTGGGTGGGAATGACCCACTTGGAGCCCTCGAGAGAACTGAATAGCTTTGTGAATTCATTTATCCTATCTTGACCAGAGAGAATGTTTCAGTAGTGATCAAATGACTCAAATTAGGACAACCAGAGCCAAAGAGGCCCAATTAAGACACTGCAGTTTAAACTCTGGGAAATTTAGACTTATAAACATGGGGACACAGAGCCCTGGGAGTTGTTAGCTCATATCTTGAGATCTGAAGAAAAGCATGCCTAAACACTGAAGATACAGAGCAGAGAAATAAAGAAACTGGGGCCCTGGCATTTCATTTGAGTCCTAGATAAAGCCTCTCCTGGGATCAAATTTATCCCTGGACTATTCAGTTGTATGAACCAATAGTTCCATTTTTTTTTAATATTAAGCCAGCCATATTAGTCATATGTTGCTTATACTAAAAATAATGCTAAACAATGTAAGCAGCCAAGGTCAGGACCAACAGAAAGCCCTGAAGAACACAGTACTAGAATTTCAATCAAAACAACCTATATGAACTTTGGCCCAATGTTCCGTATTTGATGACTCTGGTAGTACTACTACAACCTAGGCTAAGATGAGTATCCTCACCTCAGAGCTTTTAATCTTGTTGGAAGTAAGATAAAAATGGGACAAGTTATATGATTTTGAAATAAAAGAGGCCAGCTGTTGTCTCTCAGTGGTTGAGCATCAATCTATGAACTAGGAGGTCACAGTTCGATTCCTGGTCAGGGCACATGCCAGGGTTTCAGGCTCAATCCCCAGTAGGGGCCGTGCAGGAGGCAGCTGATCAATATAATTCTCTCTCATCAATGATATTTCCAACTCTCTCCCTCTCCCTTCCTCTCTGAAATCAATAAAAATATATTTCAAAAATAAAAAAACATTTCAAGATCAAAGAAAAAGTATGAGGTAGTATATAATCACTTATCAAAGGAACTGCAGAGAAAAATAGTGCTATTAAGTTCAGAAGAGGGAGGGATCAATACAAACTGGGTAGTCAGTGAAAGCTCCTTAGAAGACACACCAGCTGACGTGGCTAGGAGGAACTTCAAACTCAACGAGAGGAGGGACTAGCAGACCTCATGGACAGAGGTACAGAGGAAAAGAGACAGGTAACTAGGAGTGCTGAGGTCAACCGTCAGCTAGTTTAGCTAGAATGGAGGATTCACACAGAGAAGGTCTAAGAGATAAAGCTGGAAAAATACATAATAGCTAAATTGTGAAGGGACCGAAACTGTTCACCTAAGGGGCTTAGGTTTTCTCCTAAGAGCTCAGTATTCCTCAGAGTGTCACACCAGCATGAGAATCAGCTGTGGTGCCTGATAAAAATGCAGGTTCTTGGTCCAAGCCCAGACCTACTAGTACATATAAATCTATGACATGGGGCCTGGCAGTTTTCATTGTTTTTAAAAAAACCCTCTCATCTAATGGTTATTTGCATGAACATTTCTGCAACATTGCTATAGGTGTTAAGGAGTTATTCTTTTTTAAAGAAAGGGGTGATATGATCAAAGGAAGTAATATACATATAAAGGCATCAGGGCTGGTAAAAAAGATATTGTACTACTCTAGACATGGCCTAATAAGGATTTAAAATACAGTCATGCACCACTTAACAATACAGGTAAACGTTCAATTTCATCGTTGTACAAACATCAGAGTGCACTTACACAAACCTAGATGGTATGGTGTAATACTGTAATTGTATGAGCTATATTTTTATATCATTGGCAGTGCTGTAGGTGTGTTTACACCAGCATCACCACAAACACGTGAGCAATGTGTTGTGCTATGATGTTACCATGGCTACTAGTGGCAATAGAAATTTATCAGCTCCATTATGTATTTTTATGGGATCACCATTGTACATGTGGCCTGTCATTATGTGGCTCAAAACTGTACTATGGTTATCATAAAAAAAAACTGATATAAGAATATAAAGGAAAAATCAACATTGTCTTAGGTCAGATCAGGGCTATAAGAAAGGACTTGAATTAAAAAGACTTGCTATAAAACAAGCCTCTGAGATTACAAAGAATGTTGCTATCATGAACAAAAACAGAGAGATCAGGAGGGGCAGCCACTTATGGGAGAAAAATGAGGTGATGAAAGGACATTCAGGGGGAAGGAGAGAGAGAGAAGGGGGGAGCAGAGAGAGAAAGGGAGACAGAGACAGAGGCTGTGTGTGTGTGTGTGTGTGTGTGTCTATACACTAAACCACACAAAAGCATGTTCTGTCCTATATAATCTAAATTTACTACGTACTTTCTCAAATCGTTGCAGTTCCATAATTTGAGATGTGGGTTATGTATATCATTGTTTCTATTATTTGACCAATACCTCAGGTCTCCAAACTCATTTATCAAATCAATCTGTGCATACAAATAAAATTTTCAGAGGTGATTTTAATGCTGCAGGGAAAATGCCATTTCATCTTCTTTTGAATGATACTAATATGTCATCCAAAAGCATATAAAGCAGGCATATATAATGAGCATAAGGTCAAAAGGCATTAAGAGAAAAACCCTCCCTGCCCTGGAGGCGGGATTTGTTCCACAAAGCCTCCTGTCATGCCAGTGGCCAACTAGACAAGTTAGAGATTCTGGTGTTTTTTTCCCCTGTGACATGTGCTCTAGTTGCGGAGAAAAGGAAATGTGTCATCATCTGTGGTTTGGTTCGAAAAGCGGAGAGCTAGCTGTACATGCCCTTTTTTGCTGCAGATTTACTTGAACATTCCTATTTCTCCAAGTCTGTTCTGCTTTATATCACTGCAAGCTGTGCGTAAAGACAAGAAAAGAAGTGGCTTGTTAAAATAAGGTTATAATCAGATTTTGACCAACCATTTTGCAAGGTAGGTAATATATATGGCTTTTCTTATGCCTTTTACTTACAACTTTGTACAGATTCGTGTTTGAGGAAGTGCTTCAAATAGTACCTACGACTCTTACTAACAAAGTAGAATCATAAGTGATGGAAAATGTATGCTTTTTGTTCTGTCCTGTTAGGTAAAACTTAAGTAGAAATGAGAAAGATTTACTATCAATATAGAGTTTTAAATTAGAACTAGGTAGGATCTGAGTTTAAATTCTACAGTCAATTAGAAAGTTTGGTTATGAAAAAAAGTTTAAAAAATAAATTTATTATTATTAATGCTTAGGCATTAAACATGTTATTGAAAATGACCAGAGATTAAAAACACACACAGACACTTCTGATAACATAACCTGGCCTCATTGGTTTAAATTAGGGATATAGAGACAGTCCTCTATTCTTGGGAACTTGTAAGGATAAGAGAAAGTCTCATTTTGTTAACAGTTTGTTTATTTGGGGATGACAGCACATCTGGCTGAAGACAATCAACAGCGGGCCCATTATCCATCCCGTGGTAAGCATTGTTAAATGTGTGCGAATGCTAGGATGCGTACTACACTGTTAACAAACTAATGTGACAATAACAACCCACTTTAAATTATTTTACCATCTATGCAGATGGCCAGTCTAGTATAAAAGGATGGAAATTGCTTGCTAACCCAATTTAAAGTATTTCTCTGTGAAAGAATCATAAAGAAGGCAAAGATTTATGCCATTCAACTTAAAAATGGAAGCTGAACACTACGTAGAAGTCAATGCACCGTATCTTTCACTGTTTATTAAAGGTCATAATCCAAAAAGCAATCTTAATTCTGGAGCACACAATAAAAGCTTTTTTCCTCCCTACGATTAATAGGTGATATTATTTCATAGGTTAATTTCCAGTTAGCATCACTTATTATAAACTACTTCTTATACACTATTTCTTATAAAACTGTGAAACTGACTAGCAGTAGCACCTATGTTGCTTGGGAGTTGGGTCAGAAATGAAGAATTTCAGGTCCCTCCTAGATCTACGGAATCAAAGCTGATTCAAAAAGGAGAATAATCTAGTTTTTTTTCTAGTTCCCTTAAATGATTACTAAGAATAAAAAATCTTATAAAAGTAGCTCCAACAAATTGGAATATTATTATAAAAGAGATAGTTCAATAATGGTGGTAAGTCTTTCTGGCTTACCAGTCCCTGAACAGATATACCAGTTCTATTTAAATCACCAATTCTATGGTGGATAATGAGAATTAGAACAGTCTTATCCCCTTTTTGTACTGGCTTCCAGGGAGCTCAGAGCCAAAACTGAAATGCAAGCTTTTTATTTATATGTTGAGATGCTACCATCTGCCTTGACTTCCCACTTCAGTCTAAAATCCCATGATCCTGAGGCTCTACTTCTATTTTACTGTATACTTTATTTCAAAAATTATGTCAAAATATTCACAGGAAAAAGTGCTAGGCATAAATAATATAAAAAAGTCAGTAACTTTTGTTAAACCTTTGAGATTATTCAGTAGAGTTCTGCCTCTTTTTCTTTGTAATGCCAGATTTTCAGG